TTTTTTTTTGGACAAAAGTTACGATTTTCTAGAGGTTAAAATGTTTGGGCTTGTTTATAAATTTGGGCTGGGTTGATTTTGGGTGTTTTTTGAGTTTTTTTTTTCTGTTGGGCTTATCAATGGCAGCCTTGTAATATATAGGAACTTCAACACTAATTTGTTATTTAATAAATGGATTTTGGGTGTGTTTATAAAGTGTTTTCCATATGAGATTTTTTTATAATTTCAGCACCCATTTTGGGTATATTAGTGAAGCTCCCTAAAAAAAAAACGTTAGCAAGGACTTCTAATCAACTTTTGTTTTTGGTGAAACCATCAACTATATATTTGTAGTAGTACTAGTACCTAGCAAAAAGTAGTAAAAGAAAGGCATATTGGGAAAAAGATTATTATCACCCTGCATCGTCATGATTTTTGAGCCTAGGTGGGGCCCGTCATATATCGTATCAGCAAGCCCAAGTCACGTCATCGATTGTAACATGGTGCAAGCAACGGCTGTGATCAGTCGAGCAGAGTACTGCATGTTGGGCCTACAAAAGAACGTCATCCGATCCAGTACCAGATTGACATTGAATCGTGCAGGAACTTTTCCCTGACACCGAGGGGAGAATCTTGGGCCCGCTCGCTCGATGCCTCTTGGTCAAACCAAGTTTTCAGTAAAAGGACAGCAACCGCAATTCTATTGAAAACAAGAACCCATTTTAGTAATTCTGTTGCAGCTTAACTTCTGCTACCATTACACTTTCGTTACGCTATTTAATCTATAAATACTCACAGCCGCTGAGCTCCGGCACAGTCTCTGTTGCTCTGATAAATTGAACCAAGTCACGCAAACAAAAACTACGTAAACATGCTTGTGTATCCGGACCAACTGCCTCAATGATTTTCTTTTTCGTTACAATTTTTGATCCCATCGAGCAAAACTTCCCTATTTCCGTTTCATTGTCTCATTCTTTCTATCTCTTAATGGCCCAATGAAAAGGGAATAGAAAAGTATTTTTGCATCAAACTTTAGGGTAGGTTTTGATGGAAAATAGTTTCGCCTTTACTATTTTACTGGGAATAGTGTTCTTAGAGGAGATCTTATTGCTTAGATTAACAACCATTTATTTGTTGATTGTCAGGTTATCTCTTGGGTTTGGATTTGTGTTGTTGATGCCAAGTTATTTTAGATAAATGATGATGCTTAGACTCATGTTATGGTTCAGGTGATGAGCTTCTTTCTTTGGGTTGTTGACATTGTTGATACCTTCAGGTTGCTTCAGGTGAGTGAAGCTAGATAATTACTCATTAATCATTTTGATAATCAAGCATGTTTTTCTTCTATGTAGTTACTTAAAACAAAATGGTTCATTGTGGTATACTCTATATTTGTCATGAATAGGAGCAACCAGCTATGACAAAAAGCAGCTTTGTGACATTCGTGAAGAGGTACATAAAGTTGTTGACACCAAGAGCTTTTCAAGAAGCATATATATTGAGGGGGCCACCAAATTCTTGATCTCTAAACTCAGCGACCTCCAATTGTATGTGTGTGTGCTCTTTTCTCCACCTGCTTGCTAATTCAACCAATTTGGTTAATTTGTTTACTTTTAATCTAAGATTTAATTGATTGCGTGAGTTTGTGGGTTTGGTTTGTTGTGGCAGTTTTGTGGGGAAGAGCATGCATGATGATGGGAGCATAAGGAAGGTGCCACCGACCCAACATTTATCTACCTGGCCTATAGTTTGAAGGAAATAAAGTGTTAATAATGCTTTTGGATGGTGGTGCTACTTGTACAAATTTTTATTATAGTTTCTTAGTTTTGAATGTTATTTAAAAGGTTCACCTTAACTGGTATTTTTTTTATAAAAAAAATTCGAGAAAAATGGTCTAACATATTTGGATTAACTTTCAAGTGTCACTGCAAAATGCTCAAGAGCAGTGGTCTATCCATTACTGGTTATAAAAACAAACACAAATTACTACAAGTCAATAGATCAAATTACACGAGGGTATGGTTCCGGTGCACAAACTTAAAAGTTGGAACTTGTACTAGGCTTGAAGACCCTTTGAGAACCCATCCACTCTATGCGTAATAGTTGAGGCTCGCCTTCTTTTTCGACTGAACTTGAATGATACCTTCATTAAAATCTTCGTGGTTGACCTGTAGTAGAATCAAAACAACACTGATGATTAGTACACTTCGTACTGCAGGTAAAAGAATACCACACAAATAAAGATGAGAGCAACTAACCTCAGTTGCATCCCGACGCAGAGCCAGCATGCCTGCCTCCACGCACACTGCTTTTAGTTGTGCACCATTGAAATCATCAGTAGACCGAGCTAATTCTTCAAAATTCACATCTGGGTGGACATTCATCTTCCTCGAGTGAATCTACAAAATTAACAAAAAGGTTTCAATAAGAATGCTTCCAACTGGAAAAGTAATCACGAAACATAAGGAATTGTAAAAGACAAACCTGCAGAATTCTAGCTCTTGCATCTTCTGTGGGATGTGGAAACTCAATTTTACGATCCAACCGACCAGAACGCATAAGAGCTGGGTCAAGGATGTCAGCACGATTTGTTGCTGCTATCACCTGCAATTAAGTCAATGAAATTGGTAATGTTACCAAAATAAAGCAGACGTTCTCTAAGTATTAGATGCCCAGAAAGTAAAAAGGCTGAAACATCTACTAAGAGTTCCCAAGTGAATCATAGTTGAAGGAAAAGTGAATACACTACAAACAAGGATAAACAAACCTTGATCCGGTCATCGCTACTAAAGCCATCAAGCTGATTAAGCAGTTCAAGCATTGTACGTTGCACCTCCCTATCCCCACTCACTTCACTGTAACCAACAATGAGAGAATAAATTTCAATCAGGAAAGAATGCAGTGATCAAATTGGGCAACAACATCCAAGTACATATTTGTTATCTATATGAAAATAATTCATAGAAATGGCTGCTGAGGAAATATAGTATACCTATCAAATCGCTTTGTGCCAATTGCATCAATTTCATCTATGAAAATGATGCAGGGGGATTTCTCTTTTGCAAGCTGAAAGGCATCACGAACAAGTTTTGCTCCATCCCCAATGAACATCTACATGAACTCCAAGTATGATTACTTCGTTAAGCACCCAGTTAGAAAATCTAGAGTTCACTAACATCGTAAAAAATGATTGCTAATACAATAGTTGAGCATATTTAAACATAGAGAGCTAGGTCATACAGAGTTCATTTACTCTCCCAAAAAGGATACAAGGATCATGTCCTCCTAATCAGAAACAGGTAAGACAAAGGAAAATCTATGAAACAACTGATTTATATCTCAGAAAACCTAGAGTTCACAAACAAATAATTCAATTCTTCAGGATGAAGGAACCTCTAATGCAAAATAATTTTAAGAAATAGACGATTCCTTCTCTAATCTGAGCACAAGGATCAGCATTTGGGAGAACAAACAAAGGCTAAGCCCAAATGAAGATAATCAAACTATGAAAAGAGTGCATTAGAGGCATTCTCAAAATTGTTTCAAAATCAGCCACCATGCTAAACATGTACATGCATATAACCTTGAATTCAATGAAAAGAAAACGATACTAGTAATAATTATATCAAAATTTTCTATACCTGAACCAGTTGTGGGCCTGCCAGTTTCAGAAAAGTAGCATTGGTTTGTGCAGCACAAGCCCGAGCCATTAATGTTTTACCAGTTCCAGGAGGTCCATACAATAGCACTCCCTTTGGTGGACGAATCCCTAATTTCTGAAACCGCTCTTTGTGGGTCATGGGTAAAACAATCGCCTCAACCAGTTCTTGAATCTGTTACAGTAACTTGAATTCAATGAAAAGAAAACGATACTAGTAATAATTATATCAAATTTTTCTACACCTGAACCAGTTGTGGGCCTGCCAGTTTCAGAAAAGTAGCATTGGTTTGTGCAGCACAAGCCCGAGCCATTAATGTTTTACCAGTTCCAGGAGGTCCATACAATAGCACTCCCTTTGGTGGACGAATCCCTAATTTCTGAAACCGCTCTTTGTGGGTCATGGGTAAAACAATCGCCTCAACCAGTTCTTGAATCTGTTACAGTAAAAACAAATTAGGGTACAACATCAAAATGTTTGGTACTCAACAGAGCATGCCTAAAACCTGGAAACTTGCCTGCTTCTCTAGCCCTCCAATGTCATTGTAGTCTTCAATTGGTTTTTCATCGACCTCCATAGCCTTTACTCGAGAATCGTACTCGGATGGCAAAGTATCCAAGATCAGATAACTATCCTTGTTCACACCAACAAGATCACCAGGCTTCAACTTATCAGGATCAACAAGCCCAACAACAGGCAGGAAGATAGTCTGCAGTAAAGCAAAAACCCATATTCGGCTAGTGAACAATGCATCAAATATGATAATCAACACATATCATAAAATCAAAATGCTGTTAAAGAAAAGAAATAAATGATACAAGTAAACACACTCATTGGCTTTGCTAGTGAGATAAAAGAATATATATAAAACATTACTCAGCTGGCTTACCTGGCGAGTAGATGTTTTCAAAACAACACACTTCCCCTTTCTTTGTGAGTCAAGATCAATATTTGCACCATCCTCCTCAGCCTCATCTTCTGGGTTCATTTCCAGAATCTAGAAAAGAAAAGAAAAAATCCAATGAGAGCCTAAGACTAAAAAAAAAAAACACGAAGTTCACTTGCCATCAAAAGCTTAACATCAACTCAACAGCTTAAAGTTCTCCATATAGTATATCGATAATTTTAGAAAGACCAACGAAAGAGTAGCTAGATTGACCACAATAAGTCTGGTTTCAGGAACACTAAAGATTTAATTCACATCTTCATACACTCATTATACGACTACAATTAATGCTGTGTTGAGATGACAAACAGAAGGAGCCAAGTTCTCCAATTGAGCACACTTAGCTTAAACACTATTCTCCAAAATTTTGTTTATGTATAGACTTTTTCCACGAAAATAATTGAGATTAAGAGAAAGAAATTCTTACCTCAACAATGTTGCCTACCAAGTAAGGCAACTGCTTATTGAGCTTAATCTTTTCCTGATTCTCCTTTATCTTCTCCTTGTATGAATCCAACTCCAAATTTGTTCTTTGCATTTCTTCCTTCAATCCCACAAAACAATATCAGAAAAACACACAACCATTTACATATTGCAATCCAAAACCCCCAATTCAGACAAGGTCACATACTAAAACGCATCAAATAACGGATAGAAATATATTAAAAATGCATCATTTCCCAAACAAATAAAATCATAAGAAAATTACACAGAAACCCTGAAATCAAAGTCAATTCTTTCATATTAATTCTGAAAATAATCGATGATTCTGGGAATTAAAAAAGTCATAGGACGGCGATTAAAAAAAAGCCCTAAGTCGCTCAAAATACTAGTTCCCTAGAGTAATACAAGTGGAAGCACAATCAGTGAGCGAGAGAGAGAAAGAAGGGACCTTGAGTATTCGGATCTCGTTGTCAAGAAGGCGAGTGGCTCTGATAATGTCCTCGGTGGTCATGGCAGCCAGCTGCTCGTCCTCGAAGCTCGTATCTTCTACCATACCGGTAGCCATCTGATTCCGATTAATTCCTTTTCTTTATCGAAACCGAGAGAGTTTTCAGCTACAGATTTCAGAGAGAGGGAGCCAGTAGAATGCTTATGCTTCTACTTGTTCTTAAAGAAAAGGTTTTTGTTCTTTTTTCTCTTTGGCACCGAAAATAAAATAAAAAAGAGAGAGAGAGGTTTTTGTTTGTGTACTGTTGGGCCAAACTTGGGCCTTCGGCCTTTTTTTTGGTCGAGTTGTAATACAAATTCCTAAATTTGAGTAAGGCATAGGTGAATTTTGCATTAATGCGATAGTCTTTGCCTGAAAATGTATATCCAAGTCCATACAGAACTCCCAATCAAAACTACGCCACCACAGAAACTAATAAACAGCGACCACATGAGGAAAAGTTGAAAATGCCTACTGTAGTCTCGTTTCACCCTCCCGTAGTTTAAATTAATTTAAAGTAGAATATCACTTGTATCAAAAGAACAAAACCCAACCAAGGTGGTTGGTGTGAGTGGTTCTGCACTCTCATTCCTTAAGAGAGGTTAGGGGTTCAATCCCCGCTCTCGTATAGAGTCACCACTTTGGCCAACACTTTACCCCTTACGGGCCGACCCGGTGTGAGCGGGGATTAGTCTGGGTTGTGGTTAAGGCTTAAAGGTGCCACCCATAGTTGGGGCCCATCCAAGACCACCTCATGGTTCAGACAAAAAAAAAGAAGAACAAAACCCAAAAAAAGGGACCCAAAAAGTTTGTGGATTATTGAGCGTTTGCTCGTTTCTTTTTCATTTATACAGTCGACAAATGAAAAATAGGTACCAATACACATTTATACAAGAAAATTTCAATGACAACGAGCACTACTATCCAACGATATGTCATATGTACAAGATAATGTCACGGTAATTATTCAACGATATGTCATATGTTCAAGCCATACATAAGTAGTTCAAGGTTCAGCAGAGCAGAAACTAAAAGAGGTACTGAAAATAGGATTATAATTTAGAGCTTCCAATATAAGCCCAGCCGATGTAAAATCCCAGCAACAATGCCCCAAAATAAGATCTCTGCAAAGAGGACGTAGAGCAGAATGCCTACTCTCCTCGAATGCCAAACCCCCACGAAAATGTGCTTTTGAATCCAATATACCTGCCCATGCCACAAGTCAATTCAAACT